AGAGAGAGAGAGAGAGAGAGAGAGAGAGAGAAAGAGAGAGAGGAAGAGGGAGTGAGAGACGGAGAGAGAGAGATAAAGCGACACAGAGACAGAGAGAGAGGGGGAGATTAAGGATAACACATGTTTTGATAGGAAAGAAGAAGGAAACCACCACACAAGCGTACCCGCCAACCACTCATTCAGTAAATCTGGGTAAGCCCCACCCTCACCCAACCTGATTGAAGCGATGATGCTACTATATATACTGACCTCATTCATCTTATCCTCGGCACTCTGCTTCTGCTGCATGAGGTTCCTCAACTCCGACTGGACGTCGTTCAGCTTACTGCTCAGAGTTTTGTTGTTCTCCACGTGCCTGAAGCAAGGTTGGACATTTTGAGTTGGCTGTTTTTTAGTTTTAGTAAGTTTGATGGCACTAGCAGAACCATAAGGTCATATAAGTACTGAAGATTAGAGGTATTACAAAAGAATAACAAGCACAAGCTCACATCGCATAGACACATTTTAAGATATTTGCATCTGCAAGTCCAGGTCAGACTAGCCAGTGTCCATGTATCACACAGAAATTGTCAACAATAACCCCAGACCTCTGAACTATGACCTCTGCATGATATAATAACGTCCCGAGAAATTGTTCCAGAACAATTATGCAGCAATCAACAACAGCGTTTGCCTAAACAAGCGGCATGCACAACAGCTGAACCTAATAACCTATGCTGTTGATAGATGGAACAATTCAAGTTCCTGACCAATCTCACAGACATTATTCTCCTTCTTTGTAATAGAGGAAAGTATTAACATTACTATTATCAGCAGCAGCAGCAGCAGCAGCAGCAGCAGCAGCAGCAGCAGCAGCATTGCTACTGTACTATTACCATAAGAAATATTATAATTATAATTACTATTATTACCGTCACTACTTTTCATTACCGTTCCGACTTTTATTGAAATACTGCAAACAAACACACTGTCCTAAGTTTCTCAGCGTGAAATAGACATAAATGTAGTTACATAGAGAGTTATTTCCTCCAAGACAAACAGTTGATCTTGAGCATGATTCTTCTCATTTCCCTTATTCAATTTCAGAAAACACACACACACACACAACCCCAAAATCACATCACATTTCTTCTTGAAATCTCCCCCCTCCTTCCTCCCCTTAGTTAGTCTACATTTCTTCTATCACTCCACATTTCTTCTATCAATACCC